ACACACACACACACACTGTAACAGGCCATAGTTTTCTCCCACAGACATAAATATATTCAGCATTTAGATATCAGAGATTGACACTAATGATTCCATGAGGTCATGAGATGGGCCCAGATACTGGACATAGAGATCAAGGCTCTGTTAAATAAGTGTGAGGAGTTAATAGCAATTTTCTATGGTGGCAACAGCATTCGAAAGGAGATCCCACCCAGATAGAAGATGAGGTAAACGACATCCAAATTGAGCTGTCCCAGGACTTGTCCAGTGTAGGAAACACTGATGATCCCCTTGACAGAGGAGCAGTCCTCCTACCTTCTACACCAGGAAGGCGAGATGAGGATGATTGCTGAATAAAACAGGGACGTCACCAGGACCAGGCTCCAGAGGAACGAGAAGAAACTGCTGGCGGAGCAGTGCCTGAGACTGAAGCATTAAAACGAGGTGCAGTTTTTTCCAAGCCTGGCCCTCAGAGCTGTTCCGCCTGATCCAACACGGTCTATGGCAAATTCTACCCATAAAACTGAAGAGCAGCTCAACAAGAGCTTGAAAACGATGCAGGGTCTGGTTGCAGCTAAAGACAAACAGCTTGCGGAGCACGTTTCCAGGGACCTGGACCTGGTTGAAGCTCTGAAATTACAAAAAGAAGACCTTGACCAGGTGTTAGGGGAGACAAACGTCCTGCGGTTGGAGGTCTGCAAAGACCATTGACTGTATAATGAACAGAGCTTCTGGGTCTGTAAAGAGCTTCTGAAGGAAGTAGAGAAGCAGCTGGAGGAGGAGATCAACTCCAAGTCCAAGCTGACCTGAGTTTTAGCAATTGTTTTATTTGAAAAAAAGTTGAAAGTCCGCTTTTTGTAAAAGTTTCTGTATGGTAAAGGTGTTGCAGTTAAACTTACAGCTCAAAGAGGCTAAAGGTCCTCACATCAAGTCCGTATTTTTTGTATGTCATCTGATTAAATTTGTTGATATAAACATTGCATTGGTTTTAATTCATTGTGAAATTAGAGTCGTAACGCAATAAGGATGATTTTGTTGTCTTTTCACTTGAAAGTAGAAAAAGAAACAATAGATAAATACTAAGTAGAGGGTTAGAAAAAAAAACTAGTATAAACTTCTGTAAATGATGCGTCTCGATCAGCAAACACTGGACACAGCGGTTTAACACTCATTAACACTGTTTTTTTAATATATAAACGTCATGAAGTAAAGTAGTCAGCATTGGCCTTACAAGGCTTAGGTTGATTTAAACGGCAGAGTTAAGCCATTTTCTATGGTGGCTGAGAGGTATCAACAAACAGCAACAGCCACAACACAATGGAAGTGAGCCAACGAAACAGGCAGACAGTGGCAGACTAAACGTCCACAAAATGGGACCAGAAACCATTGACAGCGCATAAACAGAACTTTAAATAGTCCTGAGTAACAAACTAATATCTGACCAGATAGCAATAGTAACCCTGGTTTGGTAACTACTTTACTCTTCCACAAATCAGTAGACAATAAATCTGCTGCTAATAATAGTCCACCCCGGTTTGCGCCGTTTCGCTAAGTTGTGGTTTTTGCCTCCAAGTTGTGGTTTTTGGATTCGTGTTGTAGCTTTTTCCCATTCACTGATACCACGGCCACTGTAATTTTCAACCCATGAAATTTCATAACTTTGGTGATGATGTTAATATTGCATTGATGTTTTTCACAGTGCAAATCATATAATTCAGTTTACAGCTTAAAAAAAAACATCATTTAAGGTTGAGTACCACTGGAGACACAATGAGCACAGTGTAAAACTGGCAAAATCTTGAATTAAGTCAGAAACCAATTGAACAAAGCATAAACAAACAAGACAAAGACTATATATACATGTATTTATTTAAGCTTCATATGAGCATGATAAGGTTCCATAAAACTTATCAATCCTATAACTATACTCTTAAAAATATTTGAAGCTAGATTTAACAGGAAACAGTCTGCCAGGAAATGCACCCCCTGACATCCATGAAACTTACACCACTTATAAGAATCTGTCCTCTAACTATACACAAATCCCATTATAAATATCCATGAAAAACATGAATTCGTATTAATATTCGATCAGTCGAAATAGGTTGGTTCACGATTATTGTAAGCACGTCACATTTGGGTTTAAAGGAAGAAGAAAAGTATTGGATTTTGATACCAAAGGTATGATTTTTTGGGGCATATTGGTTGGTTGAATAAGAAAAGATTAATTCATTCTAAATTCCTGTATGAATTTTTAGTGCAGTATTTTAAATTATAGCAAATATAATAAAATGTACACTGGTAGTGAACAGTCAATATTAAATAAGCCTATAAAATAAATAAATAAATAAATGAAGCAATAACTATGTAAATATAAATACATAAATAAGTCAAAATAGTTAAGTAAATCATTAAGTATATAAGTATTTATTTTGAAAAAAAGACCCAAAAGACTACTTTTATTTATGTCAGCGTCTTTTTTAGCCTTTTAACAGAGTCGTCCATGTCCTCTCCTGGGACAAAGAACAGAAGATGTGTCCAGGCTTTTCAATTTGCCATATAAGCTCTGGGCATCAGGGATGTCTCCTCCATAGGCCACACTTCTGTCTGATGACCTCTTCCATGGCTAACCTATAGAGAAATATGCATTTCTTTGAAGCCAAACTTGTAAGTGGTAATGGTAAATGGAACAAGCGCCTTTCTAGTCTTCCGACCACTCAAAGGACTTTAGCACTTCATATGCCACATTCACCCTTTCACACAGTAATGGCAAAGTCCATCGAACGGAAAATAAGTTATTCATGCACATTCAGACACCGATGATCGTTAGTCAGTATCTTGTTCAAGGATACTTCAACATGCAGCCGGAGGGAGCCAGGGATCGAACAGACAGGGTTCCGTTCAGAGGCAGAAGAAATTTCCCTTTTGCCGGTGTTGCCTTGCTGGACCATCACTAAAAACCTGAAGTGTGCTGACTTGAGGGTGTCTTGCTTTTACTGCCTTTAGAATGGGATCAAGGTTTGCAGACTGGCCCGCTGGTGTGAGCCTCAAAAATGCACCGAATGGATTTCTTCACTGTACTTCACTGCCTTAAGGTTATGTGAATGATGGTAATGTATCTTGACAGACTAGACCGATTTTAATAGCGTTGTGATAGCATCACAACCACGATGAAGTCATGAAACTTTACATTTGTGTTGTTGTGGCCGAGTTTCAACATGGGTGTGGTCCGACTTGTGACTGAGTACTCATGGGTCGGAATGTCAACATGTTGATGGCACTGTGACTTATGTGATCCCATTTCAAGATGTTAAACGGACTGAACATGAATAGAACCTTTTTATTCTTTCGACCACTCAAA